GATTCGCGTGAAGGACTGAACTATGGCCGCGGCCGACGCACCGTGCGCCGCCGACGACATTAAGCCGTTTCACGACCCATACTCATTATCTGTCGGCAATACCAATTTAACTGAATTTAAACATAACTTACTGAACATAATAATACATAATGATTGAAGGTTTGAACTTAACATGCAATAACACGCGAGTGGTCCGTGATGCGCACTAAGTGTGCGACCACATCCCTTCGACCAAAACTCCACCAACGTGACTAATCATCCGAACACTTAAGCTAATTTAAACATGATATTGCAATAAAAGGCTAAACATGCGAAGATGGTTCGGAGAATTTAACTTAGAACATAACATGATCGGCATGGCTACGGCTTTTACCACACATAACACGCATGCACGTCTTACTAAAATTGAACTTAATAAACATGATAATCTCGGTCAACAACTGTCGGGAATTACCTCCGATTAAGCCTGAGTGACTAATCTTTTCGAATTCCCGTACTCGGCCGTGACCCTCCGTGTGCGTGTGTTGTCGTGTGCGGTGGCTTGTGGTGCAATGTGCGACGAGTATTTCGTGTGGTTGCCGGACGTGTACGGAGCTTAAGAACACTCCTCCCTTAACACTATTTCTCCCTCAATGATAAGAAGGCTGAAGTTGGGAAAAACATGTATGAACTTAACATGTAGAGAAGATGAAAAGAAAATTCTACCAACACCACTAAACTCTCTCAATATTTCGGTACTTAGCATAATGGGAGAAGAAAAATGGAACAAAATTTCCAAAGTCTCCCATTTAATCATGTCCGAAAATGGTGAGAAGCTTTGGAGATAATTCTCCTAAGACACTTGACATACATGCAAAATAATGCTAGGACACATGTCATACATGTAACTTTTCTTAGGCCTCATAATGCCACATACATAACTCCACTAACAATAAAGAAAAATGGGACATACTAACACAATATTAAAGATAAAAAAAAAATGAGATGCACGGCTTCTTGCATGACTTGGAATAAAAATTCTCCACTACTTGAATAGTGTACGGCAATAATAATGCTAATGGTGATTAATCACCATTCATCACAAATTAAAGCTTAATTAATTTATTAAGCATAACACTTAATCACCAAAATTATTTCGAACGCAAAAAGGTACGTCGAAAATAATTTCCGGTAATTTCGACTGAAATAACTGAAAATAATTAATTCCGAAAATAATATCGGAACTAAAAATATAATTTATACTGATAAATTGACAAGATATTACAAGTGGAGCGCGTGAAAACCTTAGAGGATCGAGTTATCAATGTCACTCCCGAGCCCACCACTCAAGGCGAACCTACATATAGGGACGAGCCTCGGGAGGCTGCTTTGTCGTTCAATGAGAAGCTCGACCTTATTCTTGCTCGCATATCGGCCCAGTCCACTCGAGATGTGGAGATTGATCTCGGGTGTGCTCGACTGAGCACACAAATGGAGATTCTTGCAGCACATACCAGCTTAATCGAGGCAGAAGTCGACGTCCCTCACCTTATGCTTGATACTCAAGCCCGCACGATGAAACAAATGTGTGAGGCCGAAGAAGAAAAAGATGAGCTCCAACGAGTCATTGATGATATTTCAGAGGAGGAGATCCATGGGCTTGATTCTCAAGTCCCACCTCCCACCTCCGAGTTAGAGCACCCGTCTTCGAGTCCCTTACACCGTGTTACAAAGTTGGGAGGATTCAGTTCGACTTGCTCTACTGATGAGCTTATATTTTTAGAGGATTACGATAGAGCTCGAGTGGTAAAAGCTCTACGTTTTGAGTTGGGTATTGCTCATGCCCGAACCCGCTTCGCCCAGAACACTGCCACTCATATCCCTTGTGCCCGCCTTCTGGCCTTAGTGCCAGTGCTGCCACTTCTCGAGAATACAAAGGCGTGGTACGATTGTCACTTCTTTCTGGACCCCGGATGAGTTCTCTTCAGGTTTCGTCAAGCTAATGACGCTAAACAAGCGCTTCTTGGGAGGCAACCCAAGCGATTTACTGCTTTCGTAGATATTTTATTTTATGCCTTTTAGTTTTATTTTTAAATAATGGGAGTTTTGGAGTTTTGTGTGTTTTCTTGGCAGGTACGAGATTACGAGCTCGAGCATGAGGATTGTGCTGAGTGAGGACTATGGAGATTCTGGACTAGGGGAGCGACTTGCACGTGAATGTTTGTTCTCCTCGAGGCACTTCGGTTTGCACACCCTTTTCTTATTTTCTCTTTTTGAGTTCTCTTTCTCTCGTCTTTTCTTTTTAGTTTTGTGTGCTTATGGTAGTTGCTGGTACTGGTTCGCTATATGAAATTGTTTGGTCCTTGTTTTGACTTCCTGTTTTGAGTTGAAGCAATGAGGTCATTGCCTCATTTTAAGTGTGGGGGAGTCTTTTTGGATTTTTGCATGCTTATGTGGTGGACCGGTCTAGTTTTAGGATTTTGTGTTGTTGAGCATGTGATATTGGTGGATAATATGAATTGTTGATGAATGCTTGATGAAATTGGGAAGTTGTGATAACAGACGTGTGGTCATTGCCTCGGTATTTGCTTGATTACTTTTAATGACATCTATTTGCCTTGTGAGGTTTTGGTCCTTTCTCTTTCTTTCTTGTCAGATATTGGTCATATTCTTGAATGATTAGAACTTGCCTTGAGTTTGTTTCAAAAGGAATCGATTAAAGTTTAAAATTGCGAATATGATTGAGGTGTTTTGTTTGATTAGCTCTTTTTAGCATTGTTCTTTGATCCTAAATGTTATTTTCCCTAGTAGCCCATTTGAGCTTTGAGTCTTTTTCTTGTCAGCCGTACACGAATATATTGTGTTGACTGATTTGGTGATGATTGGTGAAAATGGTGTTGTTGTTGAATGAGGTGAATTGAAGTTGGATTTCTATTGCTTGACCTACGTAAAAAAAAAAAAA